GATTCAGTTCAATCTTAATTAAAAGAGACTTGGACTAAAAATGAGCCACACAATTTTAGTCTTCATATTTTCGATTAATCTAGTTTATTTAATCGTTTGATCTTGTTATACCCAACTCTCTATGCCGTATTGCTTTGCTTATAACAAACCTTTGCCTTTAATATTTTTTTGAATATCCTTAACTATTATATTACATTCAGAAATAAAGAAAAAATTTAAATATTTTAAACTTTTTTCAGCTTTTTCAATGGAATGGAATCAATCTAATGACTTTTCATGTTAGAATTGTTTCAAATAGTACGAATTTAAATATTGCTACATTTTTACGGGACGAATTACTCGCCCATATTAATAACTAAAGACGAGAATATATTGATATGGATAGATATATCATAATTTTGTTAGTCCTTTTCCATACTAATTATGGTATTCACAATTAGATTTGAGTGCATGTTAATTAATTTTTCTCTGTATATCAACTATGCAGACACTGGTGAAGGCTTTTTAAAAGGGATGGAACCAAGTACATGACTTTATATTTTATAATCTATTTTAATATATTACGATTTTTAATAGTACTACATTTTTACGGACAAAAATATATAGAGATAGCTACATCAGTCATGATTTTGTTAATTCTTTTTTATATGAATTAGGGTCTTGCACTTGAAAGTGTGAGCTTGTGCTTCAATTAATTTGTCTCTGCACCTCAATCACGCACTCAACAGAGAAGGCAATTTTGCGGACGTGGTCGGAAATATTTGACATATTCCCTTTAAATGCCGGTGGTAGAAACAAGGTGTTTATCCTCATTATATACGTCGCTCCCATCGAAGCGCTCCTGCCTATCCCATAGTAATCTAGTGCCAACATGGAATCTTTCCCCATACTTTATGCAAACTAGTAGCTTCAAATGGCGGGGCTACATCGCCGCAAGTCTGGACTGCACCTCTTCCATGTTGGACAAGCCACGTGGCTGGGCTTGTTTGCAAAGGCGCCCTTTTCCTCATCGTTCCCTGAGTCTTGGTGGCAGTAAAGAAGCCAGATCCGACCAGTCACAGATACACTTTCAAGCTGTGGGCAATTTACTCTTTCTTGGCATTAACTCTCAGCCGAATATATTGACTGTACAATAGTTTCCTTGCTACCCTTTCTCCATCTCTCAATCAGCAAGTCGAGTGTTCATCGAGTTAATACTTTTTCATTCTCATTCAACCGGTTTCATTAGAAGAGACCGCGGAAACAAGGGGGCATGGCCAATTCTGGCCAACTTGCTTGAGAACACCTGACGCCTAGGCCTAGTCGCTAATAGTTTCTGACAGAAAATTGTTTTCTGCCGTTGGCCGCAGTTCTCAGCACTACCATCCGAGGGAATGATTTACGAGTTTTATGGCAATCCCGTTTCCTCTTTATTTCGGAGGAGAACTTTCTTTCTGGACTTTCTATTAATTTACTTGTTTATGTCTTCCTCTCCATACCTTTATTTATCAGTTTATGGCCATGTAAATTCCAATTCGGCTGCTGTTCC